TGTCATCTGGGTACTCACAGAATCCCAAACAAGGACATGTCTCTTCTCCAGACATCTAGTGGAGGGTGTATCTGCCCCCCACGCTGCAGCTTCATTATCATCATTTGTCCCTGCCTCGCATAATTTCAGACTGGAGCTGCTTATCCCACTAACGAATCTCACCCCCACACTGCAGGTTAAACATAGAGGTGACTCCACCTCCCCCAAGTCGTTTAGAAGTGACTTATAGAGCTAATAATGGTCTCATCCTTTTGTACCTTGGTACACAGCTTGTGTTCTGGAGTCTTTTATAGCACAAATGAGCAGTTTTTGCTTATTTATTTCCCTCCTCATTCATTTTTAATGGTTATAAGAGTCTCCCCCATTCTTCTTCTGACAGCAGTGATTTAGGCAGGATTCATTAGCATAACTTACGTTACTAAATATCACCATTTATGCTGGTAAACCAAGGCGAGGGTGTGCAAAGCTAAATCAGCAGAGATCCCATAAGCCTGCCAGGCTGCAGGGCTCTGCTTGGAGTATATCTGCATGGAGAAGAATCACTTACGTGAGCATAGACTGGAGACAGAGTTCCAGAATGTTCCCAAAATACAGATTCCTATGTGCCAATATCAGAGACTTGCTTTCCTAAATGGCCAGCTTTGAAATGTCTAAACCAGAAGCTTTCTAACTGCTCTAGGTACATCTTATTTCCAAAGGCTTAAGAGCTGTGACTTTGTATGAGCTCCAGCAGAATTACTATAGCAGAAAAGCAGTTTTCTTTAAAGCAGTTTCCATTATCCCCTGGTAATTTAATAATGATATAGTGGGGGTTGGAGAGGTAAATAGTGAGGTCCAGCTGTTTCTGAGCACTGAGCAAGATGTTGATAGCAGTACTAACATATCTGGGAATTGTGATGCCCATTAGATTTTTGGCGTCTCTTTGGTCCAGACTTAGCACAGGGTATGTGGCATCAAGGGAAGAGTTTTAGTGACCTAGTGTGGCACACACCCAGTTAGCTCGATATTTTCTTCCTCAGGTAACCTAGCAAGCTGTGAAATAAAAGAAATGGAAATTAATACATTCTGATTTCTCCTGCTTGTCATAAAACCAGAAAAATCCTTGAACTAGGAAGGAGTTTTAGGGAAGTTTGGGCAGGTGAGTTTTGGGATGCCTGATTCACAGAGCTGCTCTGGGTGCTGAGTATCTACAGTGCAGGCTTCACAGTAGGGAACAGCACTGGCTTGGCTCTGTTCCCACCTCAGGCTGTTGGGCTAGGGGGTTGAATCCATGCAGCGCTGAGCACATTTGTGATACACCACTCTGCACGTTTTGCAGCACTGRTGACCAAACTCACCACCTGACTCCCCAGAAGCACCGTGTTTAGGATGCACATGGTGCACTTAACAAATCCCATGGCTAATTCTGCACCACGTTGGCTTTAAGGGACCTCTCACCTCTGCTGCACTGTGATGCAAGATCCCATGTGGCTTGGGTGAAGCTTTCCTAGCTGTTCACTGCTGTAAGGAAAAGAGGTGAAGCCATAAAAGCCTAAACACAACCTAAAGCACTTCTATGTCCTACCAAGCTCATGCCTAAAAAAGTCGTTCAAGTCTCTGTTGCTTCCAGAGAAGAAAGTTCCCTGCATTGTGAGAGTTTCTGGAGCATCTTGATCTAAGTATAGCCTCTCTTAATTAATGGAAGGCAGCTCAGTGTCGCTGTGTGAAAAGCTGCAGTGATACAAAGCCCATGAAGGCTTTAGCAAGGGAGCAGAACACTAGAAGATGTATTCCAGGCGTATGCCAGCAGCAAAAGGAAATGTACTCTGATGCTCTCGTGCCCTTTTTGCCTTTACGTGAGGAAAAGAAAAAATAAAGTATTGCCATCCTTGAGAAATCAAAATTCAAAGGGGAGGAGGGAGAGAGAAAAGGAGATCTAGGTGGAAGGCCCTAGATTTTGGGAAAAGGTAGATTGTGTTTCTCTGCAAATCCCACCATATTCTGATTCCTTTGCAGTTCTTGCTTTCAATAGTGTGGTTAGCAGTTCTGAGAAATCTGTCTGGTTTGGGACAAAGCTCCAGTAACCTCACAGCCCCTTCAGCCTTGGTGACTCTTTTGGGGATGGTTGGTTCCTTCAATGTGGCCACCAGCTCTGCTCCCTTGGGTGTCTCTTTGCTTCCCATGAGTCTTCCTCCCGTGAAGGCTCGGCTGAGGCTCATGCAAAATTCTTTCTCATTTCACAAAGTACACACAAGTGACACATTTTAAAGAAACAGCTTAGAAAATTCAGCCTCCAAAGAGGTAGAGAAGCTTGCTGCTTTTTCCTTCTCTATAGTTTTTGCTTTTTTTCTGGTGCCCTGAGATGAATGGTCAGGATGTGTCCACAGTAACAGCGGCTGGGCTAATCGGCCTTTCTATTGATGATCTGTTGCTGAATGTGCTGGCCTGATTTATGAAAATGTCCTGTATTTTGCACCGTGTTTTGATGTTTCTCTGTTAGGAGTGCATGCAAACTGCAGCAGAACAGTGCTGCTTATTCATTCAAAGTGTGAAGGGCTGGCTGGGAACTGAGTGATCTCATCGTTATTGCTGCCCTGGCTTGCAGAAAGGGAAAGGGGAGCGAACGGCTATCCCAAGCTCCCTCATTTTTCCCTTGACCTGGCCATCAGTTTGTTTTGCAAATCATAATCTCAAAAGCACAAGGCCATGGTATTTCTTTATTCATTGATGCAGGAGGTTTTTCAGGATGGTTTTTTTTATTTTCCAGCTCTCTACAATCACCCCTGATAAATTTGGAACTGAAGTTTGTTTGACTGCCAACTTTTGTTTTCCTGGCTATTGCTTGAGCATTAATGAATCTAAAATCTTCAAGCCTGAATCTCTTCTCTTATTAATGTCCTTCCAAAGCCCTGCTGCAGGGTGCAGGGCTCTGTGGGGAGCAGGCCCCTTGAGCTGGACAAACAGATTTCCCCAGCTAAGATTTCTGTCCTGCAAGGCACAAAAGCTTAACTTGGGGCCATGAAGACCATCCATGTCCCAGGCAGAATATTTTCCTTGGGACCTCACACTTGGCTCTGCCAACTCACAGGTGAGACCCAGCACATCGAGACCCTGCCAGGTYTTTCCTCCTCATCACGGGGAAAAGAGAAAGGTGGAAAGCAGCAGGCAGAGCTTGTTAGCACGTAGGAGAGCTGTCTGGTTTCAGAACACTACTTAAAATATAAAAAGGCAAMAGGGGCAAGTGCAGTGCCAGCAAGGAATAACAATTTTCGCTCCTAGGAGCAAGGCAGGACGAGGCAGGAGAAGGAGCAGCTGTATTTGTCGYTGGCTGATGGGCTTCTGACTTCTCATCTCATCATCCTCAGCTCAGGCCAGTTTGGATCATCATTACAATGAAGTAGATATTACGTTAGTGACATGGGCTCCAGGCAGAGCCGGGGCTCCTCTGCGTTCGGTCGCTTGCTGGATGTCCCTTTCCCAGAGATATGTCCTCCCACGTTTGGAGCCTTCTTGACAGCATCATCTGGGTCTTTCTGGCTCTTCGGCACAATGAGGTTGTTTCCTGATAGGAGTTGTTAGCAGCTAACACGAGAGTATCACTAAAAGCATAGTTCTGCCTGTAAATAAACTCATTATTTTCCTGCTGAAACCACTAGCAGCTCTAAGGATTTGACCTTAAAACAACATACACTGCTTGCAAGAGAGGCAGTGCAAGAGTAATGATAACCTTTCAGAGTTCGTGGTGCATTACCTAGGCTCAGACAAGAGAGGATGGAAATGGATTTGCTATGGAACAGTCTGCAAGGGGTTTTGTTGTTGTTTAAGGATAATAATATTAGGAATGCAAATTACCCCACAAAAGCTGGTGATATTTAAATACGATTTAAATTCATTTAGCATTTAAACAGAAAAGTAGAAAATGGCATTAAATTCAGATGAGGATGAGACTGTGCATTCTGGAGTCAGAAATATTAAATATATCTGCAGGATGAAATAGGTCTGACTAGCAATGGATTGCAAGAAGAGTTCAGGGGTTTAATAGATCATTCCTTCAGCTCATCAGCACGGTAAAGTGGTAGTTAATAAATTATTTGACATGTACATTTACTCATATTTTAACTACCTACAATGAACAGGGCCTGTCAGCTCACCTAGATGCTTGCAATAGATGCTAAATTGCTGGAGTAAGATTTAGTAACTCCCACAAATATTGATGTCCAGAGTTTCAGGTCATAAATAAAGGGCCATCAGGACTAACTTGAGGAGAGCATTGTGTAAGACTTTTGTTGGRCTTGCAGCCTGCACCAGGCTTGCGGCTGTTTTTGGCCCCAACGAGTGGGTACCACTGAGCATTAGTGAGTTCTTCCCTTGTGATTAGTTTTGGTGTAATCACCACTTCCCTGGCACCTGTAACTGGACTCCTGCTGAACCCGTTTATCCGAGGAATCAATGGCATTGAAAGTACTGTCAAATGTTTTCACAAAGTCCTAACCAAGTGATCACAAACTTGTCTTTGTATCATCTCTGAAAGAGTCTTTCCCACAAACCCTGCAGTAAAGAAATTTTTCTCCCTTATCGAATTACATTGTAGGCAATTATCTACCTCTTCTTTCCCCTATATAAGCTCTGTTCCTTAGGCTGTATACAAAGTAGAGGAGGAAGATAGTGGAGGCTGGATGAGCTCAGGGGAGAGGAATCCTGTCGCTGGGCTGGGACTGGGCAATTAGAACCAACCGTCCTAGAGCTAGAGAGGGCATTAAAGACTGCTGTTCTTTTATCTTTGATTATATTGGCAACATTTACAGTAGGAAAAGCCTGCCTTTTATAATGATGCTAAATGATTCAGGCTATCAAGGGCACATCAGGCACTTTTCTTGTTATTCCTAGTYGTTCTTTGAACCTAAAGCTAGTTTAAACCTAAATCTTCTCTCTTCTTCCCTCTTGATTTCCCAGCATGTGGTGACCTTCCTAATTTTGCAAAGAGACTTATTAATTTCTTTTTCTTCTCCTTTGTTTTTAAGGTTTCTGACAGATGTGATTATGTCTTTGTCAACGGGAAGGAAATGAAAGGCAAAGTGAATGCCATAGTTAATTTTACTTACCAGCATCTGAGTGCCCCTTTAGAAATGACAGTCTGGGTTCCTCGTCTCCCGCTGCAGATAGAGGTCTCTGACACAGAACTAAATCAGATCAAGGGGTGGAGAGTCCCCATCATCTCTAATAAAAGGTAGGTTTCATTAAAGAATGCTCATTCTGGGCTGTGCACTTGCCAAAGATCTGTCAGGGCCAGTGGATCTCAACACACTCATTTGGCCTTAATGTAATTCCAGTGTAAATTTGAAGGTCACCAGACATTTATTCAATAGGCTGCTGCTCTGGACTTATAAAGGAAATGGAAACCACAGATTGCATGATCCCACATTGGAAATCAATTTCCTTTTATAGTACTTAGATGAAAAGRGTCCATTGGTCAAGTTAGGCAGGGTCAACCTTGGGGGTGGCAGAAGACACAGCAAGGACAAGCTCCAGCAAGGCTGGCAGGGCTCTGATCTAATTCACGTTTCTGTCAGTTAATTTACTCATTATTAAAGCTTATCTCTGGTATGTATTTATTCCATATTTTTAGTATGTAGGATGCAGTGACCCTGGTCAGAGTGTCCCAGAATCACAGCATTGCTACATTATGGCTTTAAAGATGCTAGCTGGACACATAGGTGCATGCAAAGGAGAGGCACAGGATGGATGTAGACAGATCTACACTGCTTGTTGGCAACATTATCAAAAAAACAGAACAAATGGATGAAGTAGGTGCTTTCTGTTCCAACCTACCTATGAACACGTCACTTACTACCAGGTCTTGGTTAATCTCCTGGCAAAATATTTCAATGAATGCCCCTGAATGCCATACAGAAAGGGATGCGTGTGCAGATGCAGACAGAGGAGATTTCCATGGCAACGCTGATRTGTATATGCAAGTGGCTCATGTGGATTTGGTTAGTGGCAAATATCCAGAAAGAGAAAAGGATGAAGGTCCTGGAAGTAAGGGCTTAACACGGAAAAAAATATGAGAGATTTGGAGAGGAYAATGAGACAGAGAAGGTAGCAAACCAGTTGGGGATGTTAACTGTTAAGCTGCTTTGGAAAGCCAGGCAGCCTGAAGAACTCAGTTATAAACAAGGGAATCTGATAGGTTTCAAAAACATTTTGAAAAGATCTACTTGAGGATTGGAACACAACCTTGCAGAGCAATGGATGGGAAATCTAGCCCTTTGGTCCACCAGCCAGGCTGCAGAGCTCTGTCAGCAAGAGCTCCCCTGTTGCAAGCTCTCTYATCCTGCAGTATCTCACAATGTTTTCATCCCTGGTTTCCTATCAGACCAGTCAGAGACAGCGACGATGAAGAGGAGGATGAACGAAAGGGAAGAGGCTGTGCCCTCCAGTACCAGCATGCGATAGTGCGAGTCCTCACACAGTTCGTAGCTGAAGCCCCAGACCCTGGTGGCCAGCTGAGCTATTTGCTGGGTCCTGACTGGCAGCTTGACATCACCGACCTGGTGAGTGACTTCATGCAGGTGGAGGAGCCACGGATCGCGAAGCTGCAGGACGGACAGGTGTTGATTGGACAGGAGCTTGGAATGACCACAATTCAGGTAGGGAAAAGGAACAACACACTCTCATTTCCCCCTTAATTCCCTCCTTGGGAGTGGCACGGATCAAGTGCAGGAGCTTCTTCCATCCGCAGTGGAAATCAGAGCCATAGATTTAGGAGTGGAGCAGAGCTTCAGCATGGATTGGAGCATGCAGGAGTGATGAGTTCCCCTTCCTATCTCGTGCCCTAAAGTATGTAGATTGCAGATTTAATAAATTCAGTCCAACTTGTGTAATTAGAGAGGCTTTTTCTAATTGTATTTATCTAGGGTAATTGCAGAAACTGGAGCAGTATAGGGGCGAGCACAAGGAATGCAATTAGTGAAATAGCTTAGTCTTGTCAAAGTCTATGTTGACAGAGCAGGGTGTTACACTCAATATTAACTAGTGCTTGCTGAGGAACTGTGTTGGGAATAYGAGCCTCACAGGATCAAAACCCTGCTAGTCTTGCGAGTTCAGGGGTTGTATTATAAAATACAAACATTAGGGCACAGTTCAGATTGTGCACAAAAGAAAAATAGTCATTGGCATTTGAAGGCTGGTGTTAAAAATTGTCTAGTGAGAGCAAGGGTGTTTTCTCTTGGGGTATGAGTATCCTCATCTAATGCACCTTGCCTTAACCTGTGTATTGTGGCTACGGCAGCTTTTCAAATATATTTCTTACTGACATGTAGACAAATACTGGCCTAGAAAATGCAGTCCCAGAGAAAAAAGGGAAAAAAAAGAAGTATTTACCTAGTGATACTATAAAGTAGAAAATATGTTAACAAGCATTGGGCAGGAAAAAAATTTACCAAATTCTCTCTCTCTTGTTCTTGATCCCAAACTGTCAAACAACAACACCAAAAAAAGAACAATTCTTGTTAATAACACAGATTGCCAGGTCTGAAAAAATGGGTTTTCAAGATTCTGAATTTCTGCAAAATCTGTAAAAGATTTTATAAATGACTTTCCGTAGCTCTGGAACTTGTAATGCTCCCACTAATGCACATAAAAATCTGAGTGAATGTGGAAAGAAAATTCCAAGGGAAAGAAGCCAAGAACAAGGTATATTTTAAAGAATACCTCTTGTAAACTGCTACAAAAATGTTCTGTGCCCCATATGCATCATTAAATTCTACTTTCTTGTAAATGAATATCTTTGGAGGTCATTTTTCAGTACACTGATCTCCATACATTTTTCTTTTTAATTCAAAGTAAGCTTTCTTTGTCAGTTTTGTGTACAGTAATATGAGCAATTTCTCTTGAAAACTATCAGGCTTTCTTTCTACAGAATAGGAATGAATACCATTATTTCTATGGATTGTATATAAATCTGTAGTTTACGTGATATATATACACTACCTAAAAACATGATCATAAGAAAAATATCATGTCCCAGTGCAATTACATTTACAAATAATTCATACACCTGAGACAGATGTGCATAGCTTACCACAAATGTGGATAGCATCGCTGATTAGAATTGCATTGGTAAAAGATGCTGAAGCACCGTAGTGATGCAAAAGTCTTATAAAATGAGACTAGCCATTTACTGGTCATATTTTAATAATGTTTAGAGATCTGCTAGGAGTACTTTCTGCCCATTTACAGCAGTTACCATTTACATGCATAACAGTAGGTCCAASTAGGCATTTTGGACTACAGCAAAAGGACTCTGTTGCTGACTTTGATTTTTTCTTTTCAGATATTGTCMCCCCTTTCAGATGCTATCTTGGCTGAGAAGACAGTGACAGTTCTGGATGAGAAGGTGACAATAACCGACCTGGGAGTGCAGCTGGTAACTGGATTGTCGCTTTCTCTGCAGCTCAGTCCAGGAAGCAATAAGGCCATCTTTGCTACAGCAGTAGCACAAGAGCTGCTCCAGTCTCCCAAACAGGTAGTGTTGACCAGATGTGTCCTGTATTCCAGTGTTCTGATTCACTACACAGCCTTACGAACTAGTGAGATGAGCCAGACTGTTGTTAATAGTGTGATAATAAAACATTTGCTTTATAGGCACTTGTGTCTGAAGGCCACCAGGTGCCCTAATAAAAAGCAAAGATCTCATAAAAATGGCAACACGTGTACACAACTGAGTCCACGAGTCAACAGATTAACATGGCTCATCTCTCCTGACTGCATCCTGTAAATAAGATGAAGTTCTACACACAGCTCAATGACATGTTATAAATAAGGAACAGAACACACACTTTGGTCACAACCAGCACCTAGCAGACCAGAAGAATTATTGTTATCTATGTAGCTGAGATCAGCCTCCCACCACAGGCACCCAAATAAAACCTTTAAGTCCATCTTTCCATGASACGGTKGTTTTGCACAGTGTCCAACTCTTCTTCATTTATTTACTTTCTCTAAGCATTTTAAAAGTTGGGAGACATCCCATACTTTCTGATTCATAACCAAAATATGAATCAGAATCGTTGACTCATTTCATGATTCATGATTTCAGAAACCAAGAATATTTTATCTGTTACTCCTAGCTCCTTTCACAGGGATCACTACCCTATCATGTTCCCTTTTCATATCTTAACTTGTGCCTGAGGAGAACTGCAGTCTTCTCTCCAGTGTTCATTAGCGTTGATCCTGCCCTTGCCTTAGGGATACTCCATGAAAAATATGCAACTTCCCTTGTTCTTTCTTCTGGTGCTAGGAACAGTTAAGTCAAACTTTGCACTGCTCAGGTCCTTATATATTTTAAGTCCTTGTGCTGGGGAATCTGTGTAATGGTGCTGTCCCTGTGTGCCACTACCAAGGACTTTTGGACTTTGCCATATTTCCATCAGTTCCTTGTGCTCTCATCTACATTTGAAATTAAAACTTTTTTCCAACCCAAATCCATCAGTCAGGAACTTGCATCAAGGATATCTTGGGTGCTTAATGCTTATACAYGGTCTGAGCTTTAAAGGTAAATGATTGGGGCACGGACATTTGAAATCTGGCCAACTGTTGAGATGCTTTAATTCATCATAGAGCCTTATCCTTGGGATGAGGGATGAGAAATAATGCAGAACTGCTGTCTTTATAGGGTGATAAAAATCAGACTGCCATAGTCTTCCAAGAGTTAAGAAATCAATACCGCATAGCTAGAAGTAAGGCCATTGAGTTAATACATTGCCGACATGGGGAGTTAAACAAACTACCTTGAAATCAGCCCAAAAGCTCATTTGATGGCATTTAGTCCCAGCAGGCTGCCCAGCTATGACATTTCAGTCTCCAGAAMGAGTCTGTATGAATCCCTCTCTGATGCTGGGGTACAACTGGGTCCCCACCAAATCTGAATTAAACTAACAAGAAAGATGCACATCCTCCACTCTTTAAGGATCGGTTCAGCTTTGATAGGCATCGCATTCCTTCCATTGCTTGGCACACAGTTTCAGAGCACAATCCCTATAAGCAGAGCGATGCAAAATTATTAAATGATTATGCAGGTTTAAGCAGCACAGTGGGAGGATGAGGGTTGATGACATAAATTCTATGCGGCCTTCAAGAAACATCCAAAGATTAATAAACACAAAGCCGAGATTTATGACAGTGTCAGCAAAGTCTTAGGGCTCAGTCCTGAAATAGAGACACAGGCAAATCTCCCACTGAAACCCTGGAAGCTTTATGGCTGTAAGGATTTCAGAATCAGGCCAGCAGATTATGCAGGAGATCCATCCTTTGTGATCTGAACAGGTGAAACGCTATGTTGTAAAAGTGAATTAAAAGGTAATGATAAGTACTGTTTTTATGTATGTGGAGTTAAAATGTAAAACTAGTCTGTTTGAAACCTTTTTTTTTTTCATTTAGGAAACAAGACTTACATAATCTTTCTGTAAATGTAGTTGTGTGTTTGCTTGTCAGGCTGTCCTGCAGAGCAGTGCAATCCCAACTCTGACCAGACAAAGGTTCACTTCATTTTAGACATCAGAGAATCCACTCACCTCACCAGGGGTCAGTGTCTGTGGATTTGCCAGCGTCTGATAAAGTGCAAATAGTCACTTAGTGAGTCAGAGATCCAGCCTGTCAGAAGCATGAATTTGAATCCAGTGGAGCTAGCTGCATTTTGCCTGCAAATAGTTTGCGTGTGAAGGCCAAGATCTTTTCAGGTAGCCTGTAAAATTTTGATAGCTGTTTGAAAAACCTTAGAAGGCCTCATTTTCAGAAACTGGTTCGCTGGAATCTAAAAATTCTTTAAAAGGTCTCAAATTAGAAATCAAAAGGCAAGTTTTCCATAAGTGCTGCATCTTTATACCTCTGCATAGATGTAATTAGTGCCCAGATCTGATCCCTTTACGGTCAGTAAACATCCATGGACTCTGAAGCATATAAGGTTGTGTCGCTGTGACACAAAATTAAGCTTCATTACTGTCTTGCTTTTAATTGCTAGCAACCTTGAAAATTACCCTAGCAAGCAAGCAGTCTACTTCCTCTCTTTTCACAAAACAGTTATTTCATTTGAGAGACAAAAATTCAGGATAGAAGGCATGTGCGGGCCTATTTGCTGGAATAGATATTTTTTTAAAAGGCCTTGTGTGTAACAAGAGGAGACATCGTATTTTGARCAGTTTAGAAATAATGCATTATATTTTTTTCATTTAAATATACAACACTAAATGATACAACAATAAATGRTCTCAGTAGCTGGTAATGCCTTTTGACATGCAATTTATTATGATGCTGAAGTAGATAATGCAGAGCCCAGGGGAGACAACCCCTTTTAGTACCTTTGGGAAAACAAATCTTATTATCAATGAGTCTTTTAAACTAGCATATCTTTTAGCATCTTGGCAAGAAATTAGTTTTCTTGCTCTGCCTTTTTATTTGGTTTCCAGTTATAAATGACATATGGGTCTTGTGGGGAGGAGGGAACAGACCGAGAAAGAACATATTTCCTTCAGTGTTTATTCTGAGAGCGTGTATATTTGTTCTATATACAACAGGAAGCAGCCATCAGCTGCTGGATCCAGTTCAGTGATGGCTCTGTCATGCCTTTGGATATTTATGACTCCAAAGACTTCTCCTTAACAGCTACATCTCTGGATGAGAAGGTGGTCTCCATTCAGCATGACCCCAAATTCAAGTGGCCTGTGATTGCCGCGGAGACAGAAGGCCAGGGAACACTGGTGAAGGTGGAGATGGTGATCAGTGAATCATGCCAGAAATCCAAAAGGAAGAGCATCCTGGCTGTTGGGAGTGGTAGCATTAAAGTCAAATTTGGGCAAAGTGATGCCAACCCTAACATCAGCGACAGCAAACACAGAGGTGCTGGTGTCCACCTAGAAAATCATGCTAGTGATCGRCGTCATAAAACCACACTGCTGGAAAGAGCTGGGGCAGATGGCCAGTATTACAGTTCCTCAATGGGCCAAGTRGAAGGCAAATGGACCACCACTCAAAAGTCTATTTTGAGTAAAAAGGAAGACAGAGAAAGTCTTCTGGATGATGACRGTCATCTTCAGAACATCCCAACAGATTTCACAGGCTTCCCTGCCCAGGTAGATCTGCCAAGAAGCAATGGAGATCTGGAAGAAAATGATCTAGTCCAAACTCCCAGGGGACTCAGTGATCTGGAGATAGGAATGTATGCTCTGCTAGGAGTCTTTTGTCTGGCAATTCTAGTCTTCCTTATCAATTGTGTCACCTTTGCTCTGAAGTACAGACATAAACAAGCTCCCTTTGAAGAGCAAGAGGGTATTAGCCACTCTCATGACTGGGTCGGGCTGAGCAACAGGACGGAGCTTCTGGAGAATCACATAAACTTCTCATCCCAACAGGAAGAACATATCACAGCCATTGACAGAGGAATGGAGTATGAAGAGAGCAAATATCTTCTCAACACAAATGCCTCCCAGAACATTAATGGACAAGCTTTTAGGTCTACTGAGTCCACATTCACTGAAGGGAAAGAACAGAAAAGTGAACCAACCGCTTCTCCTACCTCTAAGAGGAAACGGGTTAAATTCACCACTTTTACCACCATCTCCTCTGATGATGGGTGTCCAACTGTCAACTCTATCTTGATGAGCAGTGAGGATGATATTAAATGGGTCTGCCAGGATATGGACCTGGGGGAATGCAAAGAACTAAAAAACTATATGGAGAGATTACATGAAAAYGTGTAATGAGACACGAAAGACCTTTTTTCATTTGGTTTGTTTTTTTGATTTTTCACTCACCTTCTGCCTTTAATTTTGGGTAGTGGGGTAAAGTGTTGCATTGATAAGAAGAATCAGATGGTGGATAGTAACTCAATGGAGCCCTGAGAAGCCACCCAAAAGCAGCTAGGAGAGCAGAGATCCCGGGCAGCTCTTACAAGCCTAGTCTTCTCTGTGCTCAGAGACAAAAGTGAGGGATGTGTGAGGTTTTTGATACCTGGTAACATGAGAAAAAAAAWTAGCAAAATAATAAGATCTCATTCTCTGAGCTTTCCCAGGAAGTCAATAAATATAACAAACTCCAGTGCAGTTTGGATATTACAAAGTTCACACAGCTCTACTGTTCAATATTGCAAGCTTTGGTTAAAAGCAAAAAATTGGTCTCAGGATAAAYAGATCAACGAAGAAAGCATGTCATTCTTCAAGAAAGCCACATGCAGAGAATATCTATCCAGGAACATTAATCTAAAGCTGAGAAAACCAACCACGTGTGCAGAGCACCTGCCATAGCTGCAATGTCATGAGTTTTGCAAAGAATCTTGAGGGGGAAAAAGGAATAACTGGGCTGTTTACAAACCAGCATGTTTGCCTCCCAAGCACTGAGAATGGATACACATATACAGTTAAAACTGAACCTCTCTTTTTAAGCAGTTGCCAAGATAATAAACTTTGCCAGCCAATTTTCGGTATTTCTTAATTTGTAAAATAGAAGATATAATCTGTAATCAGAATACCACTTCAGTAAAGGAAGGTCTGTTTTGGAACATTTGAGAGAACCAAGCTATTTTTAAAAGCCCACTTTCTCTGAGTGTCCTGTTTCATATTTGTATTCCCAGTATATCTCTGGAGCACGTCCCAATTTGTAGTCTGAGGGCATCTCCTAGCATCAGTCAGCATTGGAAGCACGGTGGCTTCTTCCTTCCCTTCCCTACCCAACCCAGCACACTCACTTTGCCACACTGCGCTCTTGCCAAGCACAGACACTCGTGGTACCACACTGGTACTTGCTTTACATGATGTCATTTACCAAAGTCCACACTCTTTTGGGTAAGTGTAACTTGTGCTGAACTCCAACARCAACTGCCCCTTTGTCCTCCCCTCTCCTGGGAGATCTTCTTTTGATATTGTTTGGTTCCTTCTGCTCATGCTTCTTTAGACTCACGCTCAGCACGTTGAGAGGGCACTCAAAGGTGGTGAAGGAGTGCTGTACACCCAAAGGTGTTTAAATCTGAGTAGCTAAACTATGTAGATAATTTTTTTCTCTTACAGGTAATGTTTAGCTTTTATTTTCCTCCTTTAAGGATGTACATATGRTAGGACTTCAGTGATTACCTTTTGAATCTGATGTGCCCTCCAGCCCTAAAACCATGACATCATTTGTGTGGTCTGAAAGCAGTCTCCAGTGACCAGTGGCAAAGTGTGAAGGCACTAAATAAGATCTGGCTTATATTTCAAATTCTTCTTCATTTTCCAGAGTAAGACCTTGCCCTCCTTTTGTTATTAAATCCCTTTCTGTCTTTGAATCTAGGTTGCTGAGTTTAATACACACCCACTCTCCCACAAACACTTATATTGACTCCATCTATATTTAGAATGTACTGTAGATTGTAAGAATGTAATATATGTATTTATAAAAATGCCAACTGTGAATAAAATTTGCATTTTAGTGGCTTCATCTTTTTTCCTACTCTGAACGCCTCCCTCCTTTCACTGTCAGAACATGTACCCTAAAAGAGCCTGGCAGCAGTATGGAAACGTGTCCTTTGATGAAATGGAGAGTTAAAACTCTTGGCATAACCCAGTTGCAAAGTTTTACATTGTGCAATGTTGGTGGGAGAAGATATAACATCAACAACATGTTATGAAATATATTTGCAACTAGCCACCCTTCCAAGACTTGAAACTATTTGCAAACAAATCAACATGCTTATTTCTGGTCTGAAAGCTTGACGTGTGAGTTGGTTTTGGTTTGATTGGAGAGATCTACATTTGTGCCAATGCCTCGCTGAAGACAATTCTAAAAGAGTAAGTTGATGTAAATAAGGCAAAGATAAATATGTCTTTGGAGATCAATTCTTGTGCATGTGTTGGMTACTTAATGACTTGTCAGTTTAACTCCACAGGATCCAAGATAAAGTCATGCTTTCTTCCAGCACTTCTCATCAGATTCCGGATTACTTCTCTGCTGCTCAGGTAGGGATTCACTGAAGGAGCAAACAAAGAATAGAATATCATAAGCTTTTTTTTTTAAGTGCTCAACCTATACTCACYAGATGTACAGCAGACCCTCCCACTCTTCATGGCAATATCCTAGGTACTAGAGGCCAGGGTCAAACAAGTTAACTCCCAACTGGTCATTGAGAGTGATTTTCTCTACTGTAGGACCGTATTACTGTAATTAGTATCACTCCTGGAAAGGGTTGAGCAGACAGACATGTCACACCTGCAAATTACCAGAAAATCCCTAGGGTTGAGCCATCTCCCCTGGAGCTTCCTGCTGCAGAACAGACTGTTGACAGCCTCTAATGATCAAGGGTTGGGTCCCTTGGGGGACCTGGTAGCAGGGAGGGGATTTTTGTTTTTGCTGCCCATCATTTCTGAGAAAAATGCCACACAGGTAAGGCTAGGATAGACTTGACTCAGTCCATTTTTCTCTCTCTAGCATCTAATGTGGTGCAGGACAGATGCAATAAAGGAGATGCCTGATGCAACTCTGGTAGCATTTTGCAAATGTGACTTCTGTTGGCTGTCTCCTGAGCTGCTAAAAGCCCAGCTGATTGCAAGCAGGGTGTYCTGTGAGTACTATTAATGACTTTTCATTTTATTTTCTAGTTACCTCTTTACTGTCATGCTTGAGTTTCYTTTTTCATATGATTAATTTGACTGATACAAGCCTTTTTAAACAAAGGGAAATGTGTCTGATGCTGCTTGGTTGATTTATTTATTTTTTTCTCTAGATTGTATACATTAATACAATGAAGAGTAGAAATTTGATAGCCCTCTAATTCAGCTAAGGTGTTTCTTTGCCTTCTTCCCTTATTCCCTATCCTTCAGCTTCCCTTTCAGCAGCCTTAAATATATACTGGTTTAGACGAAGCTATATTAATACAGCCGTGAACTCAGAGGTCTGAGAGATGAAGCTGCATAATTGGTTTGGGAACAAGAGGTCTGTAGAGGAGAGTGACTTGAGAGACCCAAAGAGGTATTAAATCAAGGTGCAGCCTGCAGTGAGTAGCTCTAGAAGGTACTTTCACACCTCGTTTCCATAATGAATGAGATGTAAATGAAAGGAGCACACTAGGGACACTTCAATTTGGCTCTGTATATGTTCAGCTCCTCCAAGACTGCCTGCACTCATTCCCTTGTGGTCTCTGGGGCTGCCTCTTGGGCAAGAGCTTTAGCGAGAGTAAAGGACTCATGTAGTACAACTCAACAGCCTGTCACCAGCAGACAGCGCCGACTGGGCTTGCTTGTGTGTTGATCAAACAAAATCTCATCAGTGTGACTGAGCAATTAGCTCAGGCAAGGAGGTATCAGCTCAAAATATGGTGCTCAGAAAATGCCTCAAGCATTTTCAAAAACTGTCAGAGATGAACCTATTTAGTCCTTGAAAACCCAGGAACTCTGTCACATATATCTGTATGCTTATTGTTATAGTTCCATATTTCTGTCAGTGTACAGCTGTAGAGTACTGCAACAACACATGTAGGAATTCATCTTACAGCTTATAGTACAACTTCTATCATCTCAAATTGGTCACGTATGACACCTGCTATCAGACACGCACTGGATCCTGTGTCTGTCTGAAGCCCAAGAGCCTGGTGCTCTGTAGGAGAAGGAGTGAGCCCTAAAACTAGTTCAGATAGAGCTTGCAAAGGTCTGAGGAAATATGTATGTGTGCTTCTTCTAGGCTATTTCTCATGATCTGAAAACTTGCTGCAGGGACTGCTTTGCACTTAACGTCACACATATGGCTAAGCATCTTTTCCAATGGGTGCTTATCCACCTCCTGCATAAGTAATGCCTCTTTTCTGTCCAGCATGGTTTTTTGTACTGTTTGGCTTCCTGGTGAAAGCCTTAATGGGTGGAGTTCAGAAGTGGCAGCAATAATGGTGTGTACAGAACAGAGCACCTTGTGCTTCTTGTGCATGACAGGCATGTTAGCAAGGCCAAAGTTACACGAGCCAAACTGCACCCGAAACTTCTCTGTTGCTACCTTTTTGCTAAGTTGATATGAACTCTGTCAACAAATTCTTCATTATGCAGGCTCTCTGCAGAGCAGCAAATTAAGCAGCCCACGTACGTAATATTAATGGTTGAAGAATCAACACTGCTACTCTGTTTGTGTGTACTGCCAATGCTCATTTAGAAGCTCCTGTCAGAGCTTAAAGGTAGCTGTTGGATTACGTATGACAAGCTCTGGCATCAGTCATCTTAATGTGGCTTGGCAAGCCTGGTGGGACAAACACCAGCCCTGAACCCTGTTTGTTTGCACCAGCCATGGTCTACATGTTTCCTGCTCTACATGTTTTGGTGGGTACAGATGAAGCCTCACATTGCATTTTCCCCTTCTGCTAGGGTTTCTTGTGGCTGTTTCTCTAAGTCTGTTTTGGGGCTTTCACATGGGAAGGTTGAATATTAGCTATTTGGTACCTGAACTTCTGTGGCACCTGACGGAGCTCACAGTTGTAATACCAGCATCCGAAAACTGCAGCTTTGAGGTATAACAGGGATTCCATTCATTCATGTTCAGACCTTTGTTCCTATTAATTAAATTAGAGCTTACTACAGTCATTTAAATTATTAATGACCTAAAAAAGCTTATCAAAGAGCTTCACTGCTCATAGTGGATAATAGGAGACTGCAAAGACGACTCCGAGTCCCATTATCAACAATTTACTGTGCTCATGAAGCATAGACTTGCTGGGAAAGGGGAGGAGAAATGGGGCAGAAGTGAAGAGGCCGTTCTCCCCATCAGCAYTGATTAGTTTAACACATATTTAGGATGTGTGGATACCTTCAAGTGAAGCCCAGGGCTGGCTGAAGTCACAGAGATACCTAGAACGGGCAGGTATCATCACCTCCCTCTTCCTCTACAGGGATGCAGGGCAGTCCTGGCTTTTGCTTCTTTCCCTGTGTGCTGATAGTGAAGTGTGGACTTAGCAGCTGATCCTAGAAGTCTCTGAGCACACCATTTGTATTGATGTTTGTATCTCCTCACCTTTGCCCATTCCTCTTCAACCACATCAGGGTTAATCTAGACTGTTCCTGGAGGGAACAGAAAATCCAAAGCCTGACTGGTTTCTTTGGCTTGAAAACACTGAATGCTTCCTAAAGGTCAAAATTACCATGTTTCCCCAAAATAAGTTGACCTCCTTTCTCAGTCATGACTGGGGAGGGGCTCAGCTGGGCTGCCTCCTCGGGCCGCTTGTGCTGTGCAAAAGACTGGCAGGAATACCGTCTCACTGTTCTGCTTCCCAGCAAATCCTTCATCCCGCCGACTGCGGGCATCCTTTCTCTGTTCTTTTGTCATCGAGCCAAAAACCCAAATCCCTGTGCTGCTCCCTGCCATTAATAACCTTTTACAGCTCTCTGTCATCGTTCATCCCTCAGCCCTGATCAATAGCTCTGCTCTTAGTGTTTGGCATTCCCTCCTCTTCTGCCAGCCCGGATGCCAAGGTCAAATCCACCCCCCTGRCATTTATGCCTTAAGTTATGGCAGCCTAGTCCTATTTATTTAACTCAAAATATTTTGTACTACTGAAAGATCCTGRGCATTGATCAGATTGAACTCTATACCTTGCTCTCTATGCATACAAGTTTGGCTATAGCTTTAAAATATCATTTAATAATATATGTTTTATTCAAAGRTATTTTATTTAAAAATAAAATATCATTACTACATATATTCCAAAAGATATGTTTTGTGAGACCACTTACAGTGGATGAGGCAAGTTGTTTTTGTTTTGTTTATTTTTTGCAGAGTGTGGTTGCAAGCTCAGAAAGATATTTTTTCATAGCACCACATAGTCCTGGAAGCCCCTGAAAAGCAATGATGCTTTAATCAACTCCTCTAAGTGTTTAATCCCCTGTTCTAGTGCAGAGCTGGTGGCCCAGGCCTCTAAATACCAGTGATGGAGGGTTGCAGTTGACAAGGAAGCTCCTCCAAAGGCCTAGCCCAGCCTTGGTGGCTGTTGTGACATTGAGCCGTGCAGCTCATGGCACAGACTGGTACTGCTAGTACTAGTAGTACTTGAGCTGCTGCTCAAGTCAGGGGCTCCCAGGCTGCCACCAGCAAGGGCTGGGACCTGTGCACGCTTAACGCTGCAGCAAAGCCCAAAGCTCTTAGGGGAACCACCCCCTTCATTAGTACTATCTGCTGCCTTGGCTTTTGGGGGAGGYAAAGCATGGGAGATTACAGTTTTGTATTATAACACATCTGGAAGCCTTAAACAAAGCGTATTCCTACATCCCCACATGCACATATGCAGATATATGGATGCTCYGCATACATGCGAGGGCTGGCCTCGTTTCCAGCTTCCATTCATTTGCTTATTACAACTTTCCCATCCCCCGCTTTAATATTTTCCCTTACCGTACTTTGAGGCGCTCGAAATAGCTTGTC